TCGTTTCTTATACTTATGCTTTCTTATCTTTTTTGCCCTGTTTATGATAATTTAATAATTTCTTCGTTGTAATTCTTTCATTATTTACGTTTTAATTTTTATTATCTGTTGCTACGTCTAATGTCTTCTCTGGACGTCATTAATTTTTGCTGAAGAAGGAGAGCTTTGTGGGTTCAGAAGCTCAAGTTTTTAATAAATGTCTTTTTTAAAGATTCTAACCGTGTCTTTATCTATTTGTCATTAGTTACCTGATTGTATCTTTTCCAACTAAACTATCATTTTTTATGAAACGCTTACCTACTTAAACTGTAGAGCAATGTGGGATAGCTATTCGAAAGTTTGCTGTGTATAGGAGTTGCAGTAGAAAGACAAAAGGTGTGGGCATAGAATAAATAATTATCTTTATGTGAACTTCAATTATTGTCCGTATGATCATCATAGAGAATCAGTTGTATCGTATCAGCACAGTTTTCTTTCATAATTAATGTTTAAATGTTAAGGTTTTTATCACGAAAATAAAATCTTCAAGCAGATGAAAACAGCTTGTTGCATATTTCTCGGTTACAAAAATCTAACAGAATTTGACTCTTGGTTTTGTCTTGATTTTCAGGTTGCCGTTTGGCTGGCTTTAAAGGAGATGGTTCTACGGGACGAAGATGCGCCGGCGTTGTGCCGACAGATGGCTCTTCGTGTCGACCTTTCGGTTAGAATATGGCAGGGCAAGAAATGCGGCGAACGTTGCTTTGTTTCGAACTACGTCGAGCGCTGGCGCAAGATACTCGACATGAAGTCAAAGTTCTGCAGTAAATCGCTCTGTGCCGAAGACCTGTTCAAATGAAAAGCGGCCGGCACGGGTTTTATTTTATTTGTTGCGTTTTTCGTTTCGACAGTAAAATTGTTACATTTGCAAAGTTTTTATGCGATCTGATTTTTTTATGTGTTATGTTTTTTTTTGTCTGTTTGTCGTCATTAGTTTTTTGACGATCCTATGTTTAATGAACGTTTTCACCTCCCCCTCCTGCCATTCTCAGATGTCTTTATTTGCATATTTTTCGTTCTAATTCGTCACCTCAACGAGTTAGGTGTCGTCGCTGTTGTTTAATAGAATCGAAATATCGAATTTATTAGTAGTACCGCCTGTCAGGGATCGTGTAGTAATTAAACTAAACGAAAGTTTCTAACCGAATTTAGAATGTTGTTTTCCGTCACCCTTCAGCATCGGTTTGTTTCTGTAGCACCTTTCTAAAGTGCGGCGACTCAGTCATCGAAACGTGAGTTACAGTCGAAATATGGTAGATACAAATCCTGACCACGGAAACTCACCTGATATCATTTCGGAAATTGACAAATGTATGCCACTTTGTGAAAAGGAATTGGTGATCATTACTCAGTGACATTCCCGGTTTGCGGCAGCATGACGGGCATTAGCGCCACACTACAGATTCCGAACGAGGGAGAGGACGCTGTAAATAGAGTTAATCGTTCATTCGGGTGTGCTGGAGACCGGCTTCCCGTTGGTTGCAATGTTACCTTTTTTCTAAGTAGTAAGTGTTCTTAAAAAAAAATTTTCGGGGATTTAAGTGTGTATTTTGGATGAAACTTTACTAATTATTTGTTTATGTAGAGTTTTTCCTTTCATTATATCAATAGTTGGGTAGATTCTGGGATTGTGCAGCCAGTATTCAATTTGGAGCCATAACCGCAACGATCTTGCATCACAGACTGGTGAACCACCTCTGGGTAAGGTCATGTTTGCGGTAGGTGTCCTCGTTGTTTGGATGTCGAGTTCTGTTTTGGTATACCTTGGTCGTCACTGTTCTTGGTGCTAGGGGCAAGATTGCAAGAGTATGTTAATGAGTTTCCTTAGCCGGAACACGCATGCAAGTTCCAGTGACACATTTGCTTGTTGACCATTTAATCACCTAACAGAGGAAACGTATGTTTGTTTATTAATCTTGGCTCTTTGCCATTCCACCTTGACTGCTTAAACATCTTTTATATGCCGGTTGGCTTCGGTGCGGACGATGCTGCTTTTTGTCCATTATGTCCGTGATTCATTAGCTTGTTGCGTTCCACTACTTCAGAGCCCTTCTGAGGTTCTAGAATCCATTACTGAGGCAGTCTGTTCCGTTTCTCAATTTTTCTTTCGTAAATCTTTTAGTGCGACGCTAATCTTCGTTACATATCATCGGCAAGGAGTTTCACGTTTTTGAGGATAGCTTCTAGAGCGTAGAGATTTCTGCTACCTTCTGGAACCTTATGGGACTGATTTTCTTGACTTATCTCGTAAGGATAAAAGACGAGTGATTGATCTGGCAAGGAGTCTATCTCGCAAAGTGTCAGATGTCGGCCTAGCTCGGGGTGTCAACTTAACTATCTCCATCTTTCGGGGATATGGAGTGGGTGGCGATTGCATTGTATTCTTCTACATACAAATTTCCAGTTCGTATCCTTGACTCCATCCATTCACCACGGTTCATATCCCGTACCTCCAGTTACACTTGTCTTAATTTCGCCTATGCATTCTACCTCATTACGGCTTTTCCTGCCTTGCGTAACTCCATACATGAGCTCCCATCCCTTTTATGTTTTGTTCAAAAAACTTTGTCCTCGCAGAAATCAAATTTTTCAGCGATTTCACGTTTTCTGACAATTTCAAAATATCTTTTGCGGATTTACACGTTAACCACTTGCATTCTGTTGCTGGCTAATGGCCAGTTGTGACGCTAATATTTCTTCAGGGTAGATGCTGTGTTTGTCCAAATGTTTTTCTACCTTATAGCTTTGGAACTGTTTTAAGCTTGACCTCAGCAAACTACAATTCTTCTTTATGCAATAAAAGTTATTGCTCCTAAATATCAAGCTGCTGTTAGTAACAACCAGTCGCCTAAGTGATTGCCCTTTCGATGTTATTTTGCAGCGGCAGTTTTTTCTCCTATGACATTTAGAAGCAGTGCGGGGGCATTGCAGGAATTCTAATTATAATTATGATATTCGTATTTTCCTTTGGTGGAAATGCAATATGTTCTCTCGTTGCAAGAAAAGCAACCGTGAACGTCTAGCAAAAACATACGAAGGCTTGCATCGGTTTGAAAATCAGAGTTAACACCGAAGCTACTGCCGATGTTAAAACTGCCGTCTGTTCCCTTCTAGGAGACTTGCATGCACGGCTGCGATCATTTGTCAACTACTCAGGGTGAAATGCACCATTTTCGAATTCAGTCGTTGTATAATTATCATCTTCCATGATATCATTTTATAATTGAGGTTAATTTTTCCTAAGCAGATTTCCCTTAAAAATACGCAGATATATGTAGTCCAATATTTGTCAATGGTATCTCACACTGCATCGACAATAATTATATTACTAGAC